ATTGGTCAACAGGAAATGTCCCAAATGATTGACTCCGAATTGCATCTCAAAACCGTCTTTGGTTGTTTCTCTTTTGGGTAAAGCCATAACCCCTGCATTACAAAATAAAATATCCAGTCGGGAATATTTCTTGCAAAAGTCGGAAACAAATTGACGAACGGAAGATAAATCACTTAAATCTAACCGAATGATATCTATATCCTCGTTTTTGGATAGTTTTACAACTTGTTCTTTTGCTTTGAGTGCTCTTGAAGAGTCTCGACAAGCCATCACTATGGTGGCGCCCATTTTCGCCAACTGAATACAAGTTTCCTTTCCAATGCCCGTATTGGCACCAGTAACAACGACTACTTTTCCTTTCAGGTTAACCGTTTTTCTAACAGTAAAGAAGAAGAATGGTTGATATAAAATACACATAATAGAATACCAAAGAAGCCTACCGATAGACAGGGCCATTAGAGTACAATCGAATAAGACCCAAGGAAGCTAAAGTGCCTGCAACAGCAACTGCAGGTGTTTTCCATTCTTGTTTGCTAAAGGAGGAAATCCAATCTTTTGGTTGTTCAAGCTCTCGACTCATACTTTCTACTACTATGAAAACAAGTCAACGTTGTTCAATGAATGAATTGTCCCGATCAAAACAATTCCAAATGAATTTTCAGTTTTATTTCCAACGCATAATAAAACAAAAAATACTCCAATGCATTCTAACGTGTCTTTTACAAATCTATATTTTCAAATATTCGAATTTCTCCACTGTAACCAGCAGTAATGATCACTCTACCAATAGCACCATTGCTGGCTACTTTTCTATCTTTCCATACAACATTTGGTGCAAATATGGCACAAGAAACGATACAATTATGTGCCATAAAATGTTCAGACCATTCATTCTGTTCAGTTTTGCCATTGTTCTCGGGTACCTTTTGAGGTTGAGTATGCCAAATATATACTTGACGATCTTCTGAACCACATAGGACGTATTCTCCATCTTCACTATAACAAGGATGAATCTGACTACAAAAGTTACGATGTCCTAAATATTTACAAGTACGAAAAAATGACTCCAGTTGATAACAACGAAGACGACTATCATTTGAACATACCAAAAACTAAAAGTGAAAAAATAAATATAAACCATAACAATGTCGCTTTCTAAAAACTCACTTCTTCCGAATGGGGTTTAAAACTAATACCAGATATCTTACTGCCTTTGCTATTCTTACCCCTTCGTGAACACACTTCCACTTCATTCACTTGTTGCAAAGTCCACGTTCCATCCTATGAATATTTCAAACCTCAATATCCCATTCTAGTGCAGTATACTCACATCTTGTTTCAACTGGAATGACTTGCACAGTCCCTTATAAGTTCCCACTAACAAATGTTTGCCATCTCGAGAAATACTAGATGCCGTAATGAGACCCAATCGATCTTTGAAAGTAATCACTTTCTTTTCTGCTATATCCCATACACGAAGTTTTTCATCTAATGCACCACTAATAAATATACCTTCTTCCATGGGATGAAAATGAACTGTCGTAATAAAGTCACTGTGTTGAAACTTGCGAAGTGCTTCATTTACTGAAGGATGCCAAAGACGGACTGTTTTGTCCATGGAAGCACTCAATATAAAGTCATTCTATAATAGAGCTAATATATATTTCATCACAACAGTAGCCGACTACAGCACACTTACCTTGGACCAAGCAACATCCAGAATATCCAATTTATGACCCATAAACTCTCGAAATGGTCGTGGTTTCAACACTTGTCTGGGATATTTGGTCTGAATGTTCATTTCTCTATTTGAAATACTGTTTTCCATATCCTTTTCGGTGGCCTCTTTTGAAGATGAAAGAGTACCAGAAGAAGAAAAGCTTGGCTCCGAACCCAAACGTTGTTGTTTCTTTGGTTCATCCGTTCCTTTTCCATTGTAAAATATCTGAGAATAATCCTGATTCCAGTTGATTTCCGGATTGCCTAGAGAAGAATTTCTTAGTATCTTCTACAATCATAGTCATGGTAGGAGGACATACCTTGACCACACAACAGCCATACACGAAGCACAGCATCCTGCCCACCTGATGCTAGTAGATTCCTTTTTTCATTCAACTTGAGAGACCATATCGGTCCATCATGTGCACGTAGAGCTTGAACGATAAACAAATTATCAAATTCTACTTGTGCTTTTTTCGAATTTATCTTTTGCAATTCGTGTAAGTTGACTTGAAGAAATAGTTGAATTTCTTTACCTTCACATGTCCTACACCCTTTGTAACATTTCTCTTATCACGCAAAGGAGTTCTTTTCATCAATGAAGAATTCGCCTTTCCCAGAAACGAAATTCGCGGTTTTTCTTGAGTACGAAAAGTTGAGACAGTCATAGCAGCGGAAAGTTGTTCTTCTTGTGTTGCGAATCTCAAAAAAACAGGGTCTACAGGTTTCTCCAGGTCCTTTACGGAAGTCTTTTCACCCTGTCCGTTTGACATACCATCAATATTAAGACCATCAAGTATAAAAAATCTATAAAGTACAAACCGTGTCCAAATTCTTGACTATCAAGTTGCCATCGGAGTCGAAAAAGTTTTTCCAAGGTACCCCTGAAGGTACCTTTTGAGGGTTCACAACGTTGAGTGTGGAATCGTGGTCTTCTACTTGTGTTATCATTATAAGTAATTTGCTGGGAACAGGTGGCAAGTTTCAACCAAGCTTACCCATTTACCTTTGTAAGTTTTTAAAGTTGTTCTCAAACCACACAAGTGGGTAGATAACATGTGCCAATTTCTCTCTTTCGAGAGAATTCGTTGCCCAACAATTCTTTCATTTTAGAAACTTAACAAGTGTAGGATTATCTCTTTCAGAAAAATCAATAATGACACATTGTAAAGATATGTATATTATTAAGAAAACAATTCTTCATGCATTGGATAAAATTCCAAGTTGGCATTTGTGTATCTGGCCTATAGGTCTCGATCTTGCGATAATATGCAAGCCAATATCTCTAGTCCGCTTGTCGATATCTTGGATATCCTAGAACTTGTAAGGATGCGATTGAGGATAAGATTATACGAAAGCACACTCATGCTGATTTCATCTTGTCGAGAATATCTTACTATAGTGAAGGACTTGATAAACACCAGTAATAAAGGGTTCCAGAATAGATGAATTGCTGCTCACCATTTATAATGAGAGAATATTCGTAAGAAGTAACATTTCCAATAATGTATTTTTCATAACGGGACCATTCCATATGAGAGACTTGTATCCTAAAGATGCTTTGGTCTCTCTATAAATATATCTTTTGGACAATTGTAGCTGGATACGACAACATTCTGGTTTTGAAGAAGCAACAAGAAACATTTACCTCTACCAGGATAATGGCCTTATTTGTCTTTCAAGGAATAGTGGCATTGTCATGAGTAATTTGTCGTGGCACTATTCTTGTGAAAGCCCAATAGATGAAGAGGATGAACTAAAGCTGAACAGTTTTTGGTTTATTTCCAAGGTTTCTTATAGATTCTGCAATTGTACTTGGCAATTTTTGCCATTCTTTCAACAAAAAAAAGCCGATGAGGAATAAGTATTCAGATAAGAATATATTTATTCATATGAAGCAAGATTACAGCTTGCTTCAAAGTTTGGAGTGATGAGAAAACTGTTTTCATACCAAGATTTTCAGTTTTTGAAGAAGAAACTGGAGCCATTATGCAAAGGGAAGAAAATGATTCTATTCCTTTTTGTGAAATGGCAATCACTTTACCCTCTTGAGACATGCATAACTTTATATACAGTGTATGAATATCTCTTCTCACAGAGCACAATTTTGCCAAATACTTTATAGTTCTTCCCTCCTTTTCACAATCAAGCAAGACTTTAGGGAGTGAAAACATTCAGAGAAAGAAAACGCGAAGAGAAAAAATACTATTGTCTACTAGAGAGTTCATTTCGCTGCATATTCATTACTAGAAAGATATTTTCAATGGATTATCATAACATGTTTTGTTTTTATGACAATGATAATGGGTCACTTTGGACCATCTCTTTCACAGGAAGCTCTGTTTAATATGTTCTCTTTTACACAGAAAGAACGGATCCACCTGGATTAGACGGTGGATTGGAAAAAGGTCCAGAAATAGGGGGAACTGGAGGGAACGACTCACTTGAGGATGTACTACTGCTACTACTAGAAGAAGAACTAATAACGATTGGGGATCCTATAATAATTGGGCTAGATGATGATGGAAATGAACTGCTAGGAGAAGCAACTACTGGAATAACACTACTGGTAACGCTGCTAGTAGAAGTGCTAGTTGTGCTATTGCCGATATCATCCAAAGGACAAGGACCTGTAGAGGTTTGATTGCAATGTATCCTAGAAATATATTTGCCAAAGACACGAGAAAAGTCCGAGAAAAACTGAGAATTGTCGTTGGCATATTGCTGTACTAAGCTCCTCATAGTATTATCCTCCAACAACTCCACATCTGTGGGTAGCTTGCCGGATAAATCTCCTTCAATCAGTTCCTATTTCAACTACTCAGAACAGAGCGGATAAAGAAATCAATGCACATTCACTAACCTGGTAATAGTGGTTACCAAATGAGGTATTGTGACCAGGACACATCGGAATACCGTGACACACTCCCTTTCTTAATATAAGGACTCGCATCTGAATTTTTGATTCATCCACTTACCACGCTGTGAGCTCCAGATAAAGTGACCACGTCTTCTTTACTAAATCCAATGGCGCTAAAAGCATTAATAAGAGCAGATAAACTCATAGTTGGTTCAGGAATAAGACCAGTTGGATCGGGGACATTTCTGTCTAGTCGTCCATAGTACACCGGTACATCGGGTCCATTGAGAAACTTCAAAGCTGTTACAGCACAAGAGTTTATCAAATCTGCAATACT